TGATTACCCTACTGTTCAACCTTCTTTACTTTCAAGAGACAACAGTGTTACTTGTTAACACTAGAAAAACCTCCCCTTTCCCCCAATCCTATCAGCAAAAATTGCCATGAGCTTTTCTGCAAACTACAGCTCGAGCTAACCCCAGAAATACTGGGCTTCCTTCTAAAGCAACCAACCATCTTCCCTCTACTTCCATAGCTTTATAGTATAGCTTTATAGTAAAATCCTGCTTTGGAGTTGTTTCTGCCCAGTTTCAGTCCAAAGATATTTTTCTCTTTTTCCAGATCTTTGCAGCTTATTTAGGTGAATATAGAAAGAAAAGTTCTATGGTAAAAAAAAAAAAAAAGAAAACATAAAAAAAATTGTACTTGGCTAATTCATAAGTGGGCAAGTTTGCAACAGACTGCAGCACAGATTTTAAAATGTTGGAGAGAGCTTGGGGAAGGAGTAGGAAGGTCTATTCAGGAAAAGATCAATAGTTCTTCTGGTAGTTTCTTGTTTCAGTACACCATGGTAAAACTGTTCAAAGGAAACCTAACACAAGCAGTAATGATTAAGCAACAAAAGCCCCCATTCCTTATAATTATAGCCCAGTGTGATACCGGCCTTTAGCAAATACGTCATTTTCTTCACTGCAGTGTTAACAAGCCCAAACCACAGCCTGAATGTTGCCTCTGATCTGACTGCCGTGTGCACAGGTTTCTTTGGTTCAAGTTGAGTGAGTTTATATACTTGATAATTGGCTTGGGATAGGTGTGGGTGGAAGCTGCATCTTCTGAGCTTGTCCTATGCTGGTGACTCGCTTGCTCCACTGACTGCTGATGCACAAGCTCCAGCAGTGCTTCACTCCCAGGAGAGTTCTCTCAAATGCACTTGGAGGAGCAGCTTTGCTCAGCAATGTGTGTAGTTAGGAAGAGCACTGCCGGTGGGTGCACTGGCAACTTGCAGCGCCTACAGAGATGCTGACGAACTTGCTGGAGGGACAAGTACCTGTGGTTGTGGCATACACCACAGGTAGTGTGGCCCCTGGTTGCCAAAGTACAGTACAGCACAGGGACTAGTCTGTTGATGTTTTCAGGTTGTAGGATCTGAGATGTCACATCTCTAGTAATTTTTATGTAGCAGCTGCAGCACATGAACATTGGTCATTTGCTTTTTTAACCCATGTTTAGTTCAAAGCCTTAGAGAAGTTTATAGCAAAATCGCAGATTTTAAGAGCAGATGAAATTATTAGAGCCTTGAATTTCTTCCCTAGTACAGATGTGGTACTCATGTTGAGCCTAGTGATGTGGGTTTGACAGTCTCCACAAGAGAAATTGTCACTTTTCTTAGCTTGTTCCTGTGGTTAATCACCTATGGCACTAAAAGCATGAGACTTATTCCTCAATTAAATTTGTCTGGCTTTGACTTGGGCACGTTGCTTCCTATTATGTGTTTCTGTTCTGGATTATAGAGTCTCTGGTGCCTGATGGATTATTCTCTTAAAGAACTGGAAAACCAAGTCATTGCTTCCTTTTTTTAACATGACGAACAAATTAAATTGTACGGATCTTTCGCTGGAAAAGTTTTTCCATCCCTTGAAACGGTTTTGTGGCTGCTCCCTTCACCATCTCCAGATTTTCGAGCAATTTTAATAGAGATGTATGGACTAGAAATGGGAAAATGTCAGCCTTTGGTCTCTAGAGCAGTGATGTGTGGCCTTTTTCCACACACCTTGTTGCCTGTGTTATGTACAAAGTAGGCATGACACTGGGGTGAATTTCTAATGAGTTCCTTCCCCTTTCCAAACATCTTTTCTAAGCTTGTGCCCCAAGGTGTTTAGGTGATCAGTCTTACATGTGGGAGAGCCTGGACTATATGGGAAGAACTCCTGGGCTGGTAGGTAGGAGGGTGTGATCCTGCTTATATTCTGCAGTCAAAACATGGTCTTCAGAAATGGAAAGCCCATGCTCTTTCCTGAGTACTGTCCCAGAGTTTCTCTCAGGTCCTGCCCTGGGAAGCCTTATTCCCAGCAAAGCAGGATATGCCAAGTGTATGCAGGAGTATCTGTGGCAATTCCTTTTTTGACTTTTTCTTTTGCTTGGTGCTACCTAGTTGCAGGAGAAGGCTGGAGCTCAGCTGTGAGGCATTGATGGCTTTCCAGCACTGTGCTCCGCTTCTTTGGGGTGGTGGCAAGTATTCTTCCCTTGGCTGCTCCAAGGGAAGGTGGAAGGAGAAGGGAGCTGTTGATGACCAGTTGAGCGATGGTTTGCAGACTTTCTCCTGTGCTCCGTGGAGAGTGGGGGAGTAGAATGTTAACTCTAGACAAGCAAAGCCTTCTCTTCCTTTAGCTGATGCACTGCAGTGGCCTTGCTCCAGGCTTGTTTGCTTTATCCAGCTGCTCCTTGGACAGAGTAGAGGAGAGAATGGATGTCATGCAGCAGGAGTGCAAACCTCGAGGGCAGCTGCTAGTTTGGCTGTCAGGAGCCCCTTGATGACATGGAGAGGACACATCTGATGCCATGGATGCTCTCACCTGGAGAGAGCACTGGGCTTTTAAGAGCTTGTTAAATCCATGGCTTGACTGGCTGGGGCAGGGCACTGAGCAGAACCTTACTCAGGAGGGGCATCTGATGCAGGGACAAATTTTAACCCAGCAAAACTTCAGAGCAATGCAGATGTCAACAGGAGGGAAGTGTTGGATGGTACAGTGCAATGACCATTGCTGAAGGACTCTGGGCCATCCAGGGCAGGCTCTCTCAGTGTCCTTGTGCCTCTGGAGTATTTGGGCGCTGAGGGAGCTCTGTTCACCCTGCAATACACTCACAGCCAGTTCCCCTGGAGCAGTTTTATATTTTCCCTGTGGGAACAGTACTCTGAATTTCTTGAGCTTGTTTGGGCGTAAAATCTGAATTAGGCACTGAGTGTAAATTTGGAGACTTGGAGTCTGTTCCTGGCTGGCTTGGTCTGATGTCCTTGGGTGAGCTCGGATCTTGTTGCTAGAGGAGACCTCACTTTCCATGTGTATTAAATTTGGGTTGTCTGTGAATTGAGCTTGCCCAGCCCAATAAACTCATTGCAAATTAGGCAGGAACGCCAGGCGCCAGGCTCGCAGGGCTGTTGTCAGTCTCTAGTGCAGGGGTTGTGTTGGGCATGTGCAGCTGGCAGCAAACCCAGCACTGTCAGGCAGTGTTGTGCAGCCAGCACTAGGACACGGCCAGGTTTGCCTGCTCAGCCCCCCTTACTGTTTATGTTCCACCTGGGCTCTGCCTTGCTCCCTGCCGAGGAGACCCTGGATGTGAGAGGAGACCTAGCAAAGGGCTAAGGCACTGGGAGATGGGCTGAGACAGAGCCAAGACATCCTTCCCATGCACCCTTCTCAAAATCGTTGTGGTTTTGGATGGGGATGGAGGGAACTGGGAGGGGAAGATGTAGGCAGAGGCATCTGTCTGTGCTCATGGTTGCTACCAGCAGTGCCACAGGAGCCTTCCTGGCCAGGGAGAGGGAGCAAGCCCCAAATGCTCTCACCAGGCAGCACAGGCACTCTCTTCCCTGCAGCCCTCTCTCCTCCAAGCCCATCTGGTGAAGTCTGTCACCGGCCCTTCTCTGCCTTCAGCCTGCTCTGGGCAGCAGCCAAGGGACCAGCGGCATCCCTGCTGCTCTTTTCCCTCCCCCGGGAATGGAGGGATCACGGGCTTTGATGTACGGGCACAGGGCTGGGGACAGGCTGTGTGCACTCATGAGAGTCTGGCCAGGCTCCAACTGCCTTTGAAGTGCTCCAGTGATCAGGATGAAAGGAAGGGGAGTCCTTCCCCAAACCATCTGGCTCTAATTGCAGGTAGAAATGCCTCTCTGCGTCCCCCCCTCCACCCCGTGGGGAGGGGGCACTCCGCACTCTTCTTCATTAATCCCGCGGCTCTCGACTTGGCTGGCGTGAAGGGTGAGAGCTTGGGAACAAAAGAGGGTTTCAGATGGGCAGCCAGCAATAGGCATCCTCTGGCCGAGATGCTGGGGGTTCGGGCACCTCTGCCCGTGCCACAGAGGGGTTTGCCAGTTGTTCCCATCTCTGGTTTCTCAAGCACACTGGAGCCTGCTGGCCCTTTGGCTCACACTCTTTCGTGCCAGTGTGCACCGAGTGCAGGGACGAGGAATGTGGGAACTCGGTGTGAGCCCAGTTATTTGGCAGCACACGCTGGCCGCCTCCCTGCCCCCTCTCCGCCCCCCCCTCACCCCCCCGGCTGACTGGTACTACCTGTGGGGCAAGGCTCCCTGCCTGCTCTCCCTGCTCCTCCTGGGACAAGGCTACTGTGAAATGCCACATGCCACTGAAGTGGCAGCAGCAGTTAGAGCCATTGGCAGCACTGGCAAGTGAGTTTTGTTGATTTGTTCGGCTGGGCATCTTCCCTTTCTCAAGGACCTGGAGGTAGCTGGGTTATATCTACTAGCAGTTTCTTTCCCTCCTTGTGGTAGCCTTTGGGCAGTATGTGAAATCTCAATTAAACCTGTGTTGCTTGAAGTTGTCTGCCCTAATACTAATACCACAGAACAATTTATTTTGATGAGGTTTTCCCCTTGTCATAAAGCCCTTGTTATAAACTTTTTATATAAATATATAAAATTATTAAACATGAACTCTGGTAACTCGGTGACCAGAAACAGCCCATGCTGTGACCATCACCAGGGACCAAGCAATGGCCAAAAAGGGAGAGCAAGAAGTGGAAAGCCAGGCAAAATGGGCAATGAGACAGCAGAGGGGTGCAGAGAGGGTGGTTGTGGGTATGGGAAGCACCAGCCTGAATAGACCTGTAGGTTCAGGTGCAGCAGGGCTGAGTCCTAGCACAGCAGAGGACACTGGGTATTAATTTGATTGATTAACATGTTAACTGCTACCCTGATGCTGCAGATGGGGTGGAAGAACCATTTGGTGCAGCAGACCAGACCCGCTTTGCTGGGCAGCAGTTTCCTCCCTGCCCTGCACTGCCACCCTGCAGAGATGTTTTCACTGCCTCTTCCCTCTCCAGGTCTCTGCCTCATCCAACCCTCGTTCGGCAGGGGATGAGGAGCTGCCACCATCAGGCAAGGCACGGGGGCTGAGGCGGAGCGGGCAGGCTGGCTCACGGCGGCACAGGCGTCGTGGGGTGGCTCAGCAGGCTACCAGGAGCCCAGCAGTGCCCCAGCCCAGCAGTGCTGGCCAGGAGGAGAGCCTGCCCTTCATGCTGAACCTACAGAGCTTGCCGGGGCTGGCCAATGTGGACCTGAGTGCCCAGAACCCCAACATTCAGGTGGGGAGTGGGTCTAGGAGGGCCATGGGGGGGATGTGGGTGAGTGCTACATGTTCCCTAAGAGGAAGGATCTTGTGAATGGAGTCTGTGTGGCTTCTGCCATCTGTCTTCTTGGTGACTGCCAGCTGCAGCTAGCTGGCATGGAGAAGCTCCTTGCCAGAGGAATTTGCTCACACTCTTTTCCCTGCCCCCCCCAGCTCCTCTCTGCAGAGCAGGAGCAAACACTCCTACATAGGTGACCTCTCAATTTCTGAGGGTGGTGTTTGCCCCTGTGGGTGACCACCAGCCCAGCCCCCCTGTGCCTCCCACACTGTCCCTGCTCAGTCTCTCTGAATGAGGCGAGACCACTTGTGCTCCTCATGGTCCTGCAGCCCAAGGTGTCTCTGGTGTCTCGGGTTGGGAGCCAGTGCGTGGTCTGGTAGGTCTGTCCCAGGGCTGTGCCCTGGCTCACTGCCTTGCCTCATGTCTGCCTTAAAGGTGACCATTGAAGTGGTGGATGATCCTCAGGCCGAGATGGAGATGGACTTGTTGAAGGAGACAAGAAATGACTGGTCTCTGACATCCTCTGAGTGGTTGTCCCACAAGGACCTGTTCTGGCCCCTCTTCTGGGAATACACTGACCCTGCCGAGGGGGGGGAGGAGGAGGAGGAGGAGGAGGAAGAGGAAGAGGAAGAGGAGGAAGAAGAGGAGGAAGAGGATGACAACCTGGATGTAGAGGACAGGGAGGAAGAAGAAGAGGATGATGATGAGGAGGAAGATTACACAGCAGAGTATGAGGAGGAAGAGTCCATGCTCAGTGGAGTGGGAGGTAATTGGGACCAGCGATGGCCTGGGCATAAGAACTGGATCTTTAAGGAAAAATATAATTACGGTGAGTTCTCTTGGTATGCACAGCTGCCCTGCAGACCTGCACTGCCCTCCCCTGCCTTGTCTGGCCCACAGCCCTGCAGCAGGGATCACAGCACGCTGGTGCTCAGCTCCTACTTAAAAAATAAGCAAGCATGCCAAGGAGCAAGGCCAGTACTCAGCTGTGGCTGCCAGCAGTCAGACATGCTAGAGTCCCAGTGGGAATTGCCCTTGCATGTAATCTGATGGAGCATGGACTCTAGCGAAGGCATGCTCAGATGAGAAAAACATTGTGAATGTTTAATGGCAAGTGCTGCTGCCATGGACTCAGATCCCTGCAGTGACACCAGTGCCAGAAGCCTTTGCCTCAGACATCGGCATTCCTCCAGGAGAGGAGCTGCAGAGGGCTCCATGGCAAGTACTGGTGAGCAGACAGACCATGGCACCACAGCAGCTCCCTCTTGCAGCTTCTTGGCCATGACCCTGAAACCAGTCAACCTTTGCTAGTACCTCATGCTTCAGCATCATGGCCAGTGCATTGCCCATGTTCAGTGAGGATGGGGATGGACAGCGATGCCTGTTTGGGTTGGTATGACTGGGAGCAAAGCTGTGAGAATGAGAGCTTTTGCTCAGGGGCTGCTTCCCTGGGGTTGGCAGCGAGGACAAGGTTGGCCCTTGGCATCACATGACTGGGTACTATTGTGTGCCCCAGGCAGCACTGTCCCTGTACAGGGATGGTGCAGAGCTGAGGGAGGTCCCAGGTGGCTGTTGGCTCCCCTTCTGCTAAGACTTTGCTGAGGTTCACCACTCTCTACCTCTTCCCTGCCTTGCACAGACTATGAAGATGAGGATGAGTGGAGCCTGTGGTCCCCTTGCAGCACTACCTGTGGCAGCGGGAACCAGAAGAGGACCCGGTCCTGTGGTTATGCCTGCACAGCAACGGAGTCGAGGACCTGTGACCTGCCACACTGCCCTGGTGAGCCCTTGGCCATACCAGTGCTTGGATACTGTCTGACCCCGATGTGGGCTGGTCCCCCACTGCTGCAGGCAGTGCTCATGCTTCAAGAACTAGTTATGTTTAGTGTGATCAGAGCTAATGACCATGGGGCTTTGTTTCCACAAAGAGGCTATGATTTGGCTTCATGGCTCCCTAAGCAGTTGTGTGGTACCCAAGGGTAGTAGGAGCTGGAGTCCGGCTTGATGTGTGACTTGCACCTCTCTCACACTGGGAGCTTGAAATTTTCTCCTGAGGCATATTGAGAGCTAGCTCTATCCACTAGGGCTTGCATAACTCACAGCCTCGGGCAAGTGTGTCCATCCAGTCTTGCTGCTGGCCCTTGCTTCCAAAGGCAGAGCTATGTCACCAGAGAAGTGGCAGGAGAGGGGCTGGAAAATGGATGGTGTCTGGTGCACATACAGAGGGAAAAATCCCACCACTTGTCCTGGTGTTCAGCCTGGCTCTTTGTTGTTTGTTTGGTTTTTTTTTATTTCTCAAGGTGCAGAAGGGGAAATGGTCTTCCCCACAGAAGAGACACCTTTCAGAAGTGACAACACCACAGAGCTGTTCAACTCAGGTCAGCCTCTGCTTCTGCCTTGCACTGGCTTCAGCTATGACTGGGTGGTCATAGCTGGCTGGTGGGGAGGGCTCTGCCAAGGGCTCCCACGTCTAGTGTCCAGACCTAAGTCACCCCAAGCCATGTGCAGGCTTCAGTGGTCATGCTGGTAAACCCAGTTGCTCCCACAGCCCTGGTACAACACAGTCCTGCTTTACAGTTCAGTGGCTGAGGCCAGCCTGCTGTGTGCCCTCTCCCATGGGAGAATGCTGCCAGCCTGGCCCCAGCACAAAACCCCTTCCCTCTGTCACTGCCTTGGGGAGGGAGCCTGGCTCCAGCTCATCCCAAGAGCCTGACTGCTCCTGCCTGGTGGTTGCAGGCTCCACTGGTGGTATTGGCAAGTTGGCAGGCAAATGGCCTCTGGGTAAAGTGGGGTGAAGACTGTGCATGCCCTCACCTTTCTGTACCTTCCCCCCAGAGGTAGACAGCTGTGAGAAGTGGCTGAACTGCAAGAGCGACTTCCTCACCAAGTACCTGAGCAAAGTGCTGACGGACCTGCCCAGCTGCCCCTGCTCCTACCCACTGGAGGCCGTCTACAGTGCCGTCAACCTGCGGGATGAGCAGCAGGGCAAGAGCTTCCGATGGCGGGATGCCAGTGGCCCCAAGGAGCGCCTGGACATCTACAAGCCCACAGCACGCTTCTGCCTGCGCTCCATGCTCTCCCTGGACAGCACCACCCTGGCTGCCCAGCACTGCTGCTATGATGAGCACACCCGCCTCATCACCCGCGGTAAGGGGGCTGGCGTCCCCAACCTCATCAGCACTGAGTTCTCCCCGGAGCTGCACTACAAAGTGGACATGCTGCCCTGGATCCTTTGCAAGGGTGACTGGAGCCGGTATCACGCTGTCCGGCCCCCCAACAATGGGCAACAGTGTGCTGACAACCCCACTGAGGAGGAGTACCTCTCCCAGCTGCAGGAGGCCAAGGAGTACTAGCCACAGCCACTCTCAAAGGAGCCACTGGCTTGTACCCCTGCGCAGCCTGGCGAGCCCTGGCCCTGCTCATGGGCTCCTCAGTGGTGCCAAGCAAAGCGGGGAGGATGCACCATCTGCCTAAACCCCTCAGAGGGGTGCCTCAGCCCCCCTCAGATTTCTGAGGGTGCCGGAGGTTATCATAGTGCAATCCCTGCCATGCCACCCAGGGCAGTCCTGCATTCCAGGGCTCCTGGGCTGGCACATGGGGAGCAGTAAGTGCTGGGAGGTGTAAATGGAACAAGGGGCTGCTCCTGCCTGCTTTTGTTCTCTACGACCTTTCAATGCAACCTGAAAGCTGAGCACAGGGTGAAGCAGGCGCAGCTCCTACTGGCTTCATGACTTGTCTGAGGAGCTGGTGAGGCATGGCTGCCTGCTCTTGCCTGTGCACCTGCCCTGGCACACACTGGATTATGTCTGAAACTGGGGTAGGTCCTCTAGAGAGCACATGGCTGTCCCAACCATGCATACAAAGCAGGGTTTGCATGCTCCTCAGGTTTGTGCATGCACAGTTGAGAAGGAGCAGAGAAAGGCTTAGCAGAGTCCATAGGCCCAGGATAGGTGTGGGGCAGGAGGAGACTGGCTGCCTGGGCTCCCTTGGCAAGATTGCCTTGTCACCAGGGTTTTGGTTGCCAAAGCTAGACATGGGTGGGCCTCAGAGGAGGTCATCACAGGGGATGCACCACCTCTGTGCATTTTAGCCCCTCTGCCTTGGTGCTTGGGGGAGCAGGGTGGTAGCACCCGTGCAAGTCCCAGCACTAGCCCACTGTCAGGCCTTGGTGCCCTGGCAGCCCCCAGAGGATCTCAGTGCTCAGGAGCACCTGTGACACAGCCCAGAAGAAAGTCCTGTGTTTCCCACTCACAGGCCTGCCAGAGACAGGAGACACCTTGGCCACTGTTCATGCCATTGCTGGCGAGGAGCAAAAAGCACCGAGTCAAGTTCTCCATGGGAAGAGGAACAAGTCAGGTGCCACTGGGAGCATCCAGCATTGGCCCTCTCTGGTCTGCTGCTGGACACGGGCCCTGCTCCATGCTGTCTCTGCCCAGGTGCCCAGCAGGAGACAGCCCAGGGAAAGCGAGTCACAGGCACACCCTGCGCCTCTCAGGCTCGCTGCTGGGTCAGGCTCGCAAGTGTGACTCCAAAGGAGGAACACACACATGCTAATAATGTCAATACCTGGTGTCCACAGATCACGAATCATGAAGCTTTCTGTTGGCACTTTGGTCTTGCCTGGGTTTTATTCAGCTTTTCCCAGGTCCGTGGCAGTGTGTCCCAGCATATTTTGTGAGTTTTTCTGCAAAGAAACTAGTCTGAGCACCTTTATCCCTGGACATTCAGTTGTTGAACCTGGCAGAAACTTTACAGCTTTCATTTGGAAAATTTTATGCATCAGAGGAAATAAAAGAGCAAGTCAAGCACACATAAAGACGAATGGAGTCATTTCTAGACTAGAAGTTTCACCTAAGGCTGTTAGCTACTCCATGTGTTTGTGCAGGACACTGTTGGACCAAAAAAATATCTATCTGGTTGCAGAGGTCCTTGGCTGACCATCCTGTGCTATGTCTGCCCTTCTTGCAGGAGTTTTCTCCAGCATCAGTGAATATCCATGATCTGAAAGCAATCTGGGGAGTCTTTCTGGGAGCATCTTTTATATATGCTGAATGTATGTCGATCCTTTTGCCTTGGTTACTGGTAGAATATTGCATCTTTGGTCATCAGTAGCTAAGACTTCCTAGCTGGTAAAACAAAACTATTAATGAAGTTATCACTGAATTCTTCTTATTTAACTATTATTCCACACTTGTATCCCTAGACTCTAGCTGTGGGTTCTATCAAAACATAGGCAGGCATCATCCATTTCCCAACAGGTATGCAGTCTGAGATGAGCAGTGTTATGTAAGTAGTAAGAAGGAAGACAACCAAATAAGCATGATGAAGACCTAGACCCTGGAAAATTTTCATGATCGTTACATGTTCCAGTCAAAATGGTCATTTGCTCGCTAGTTTCTGCTAAAGAGGTAGGTCATAAAGAGGTGGTAAAGAGGGGGTGGCAGTGGTCTGGTGGCTTGATTCTGGGAGCCTGGGATGCGTTCAGGGAGCCTTGTAAAGAGACACAGAGGCTTTTGTATGGGAAGCAAACAAACTGAGTGGATGAGGCCATGGAAGGATGAGCTTGTTATCTTCTGTCATTCAGCACAGCATCTTCATATTTCCTCTCCCATACCATATGTCATTATAAACATCATCAGACTCTCAGAGGAGCTTATTTACCATCAGTGCTGACTTCTTTAAAACAACATCCTGTTGAATGTGCCTAGTGTTCTGTATTGGACCCACACATGGAAGCAGGACTTCTGCAAACAGCCTTTCTTGAAGGAGACTTGCAAAAGCTCAGCCAATTTGTTTGTTAGACTGGCTACTCTCTAAGGAAGTGCTCTTACAATAAGGACTGTTATTCAGGCTTTGCATTCTCCTCCTCTTTATACTGGCTATGTCAACCAGTCTAGTTCTGTAATAACTGGAGTTCCTGTCCAAGGGCAAGTAGAAAAATTCCTTGCATTGACAGTCCCCCACTCCCCGCCTCCCCTACAAAAGCTAGTTGAGAGCCAAGTAGCTATTCTGCTTCGCTGCCTCTATGGTTTAGACAATATAGGCATGAACTGGAGCATGAGAAACAAGAAGCAGTGTTGTTCCTCATACGAGCACCTTACACATCAGGAGGCTTTGCAGAGCACTTTGAGAAAAGCAGACATTAAGCAAGCGTTTGTTTTTATATCCCATCAAAGATTCTGTCCAGCTCACTGCTGTTTAAGTGATGAGTCTCTAAGGTTTTATTCCTTAGGTTTATTGTGGGTTTTTTATATATAATATATATAAAATGTCTTTTATTCCTACAAAATTTCATAAAGAATAATTCTTTATTCTGATGCTGCAATAAAGCACTTCATATATATATATATATATATACACATATATATATATTTATATGTCACGCTGATGTCATTCAGTTGGGACTGGAGCATATGTTGCTATTCATTTTGGTTGAGAGGGATGACACTGTATTGAACACTACATGTCTTGGGTTCCCAGTCCTAGTTGGCTTTGATTCCTTTCCTTAGGATTTATATTTGGTGATGTCTGGCTGCAAAAATCATAGGTAACAAAGACTATCTGGAGCCCACCACCACAGCCATGGGATATGTGAAGTTCTGCTTAGAGGGAAGGAAGCCTTCTACAAGACCATCAGGGTCAGTGCTGAGAAGCAAATGCATTGCCCGTGCCTCAGGTTTTATTCCATGGTGAGCTTGGCCAGAGCTGGGTACTGGCTGATGTTACACCAGCACACTGCTTTAAGCAGGTGTTGAGCATGGAAGCAGGGGGAAAATAAAACCCAGAATCATCCCAGCTGGAAAACTGGTTTGGCAAACCACCTCCAGAGCCAACAGCTAATTATAGCAGGGGGATTTGCAAAGCTTTCCAGGGATCGCAACTCTTTGTTGCCTTTAATTTGCTCCATAAATCATGACGACTTCCAAGATCTTGCTGTTTCCAGCTGTTTTCTCTCCTTCTCTCTTGCTCCTTTTGCTTTTTGCTGTCTGCACACCTGTCAAGGGTTATCTGCTGCTCCAGCACGGGACTCTGCTCCACAGCTGCCTGGCATGATTGCTGGCCCCTGCCTGGGGGGAGCAGACAAGTCCTCTCAGTGAAGGATACTTTGAGCTTCCCACCGGTCTTCTGCAACATCCAAAACATTGTTGCACGGAGCCCAAGCTGCTCAGACAAAATCACTCCCTGGAGGGGCAGTCAGCAGTTACATGCCTAACATGCCTTTATCCTCTGCAACAAGGTCCTTGCTGTGCTAGATGCTTCAAAACTCCTGGGCTATAGAAATCCCACAGACAGAGAGTGGAAGCAGGAAGAATTCCTGCACTAAGCAGGTACTGAAGACCTGGAGATGTCACTTGAAATCACAGAGTGAGTCTGTGGCAGAGTCTCAAGCTGCACTTTTGCCCACTGCATTGAACACAAAACTTTCTGACCAGCATCACTGCTGGTCATCATTGTCTTAGTCTGCCAGCCTGGACTGGAGCTTGGTGTGGCTCAGCTGCACCAGTTCCCTGGCATCTGATGTGAAGATGAGTTTCTCTGCACACACAAAGGCCCATTCCCAGATTTTGCTGGGGCACAGGTGGGGTGAGTTGAGCCCATCTCTCAGGGATGAATGTGAGATTTCATTACAGCAACAGAGATTCCGTTACCTGTCTGCTCTTTTTCAGGGCTCCTGCTCCAGTAATCTGCTTCTTGGAAAGCACACAGGAAGCCCAACTGGGCCCAGAAGGAGCTGCTTTGGAATGAGAGGACAGAGGATGATAATGCAAGGAGAGTTTGGCCAAAGCCTGTGCAGCAGACCTGAACTCCAAGGCCTGGCCTTAACCTAGGCAAGAGCAAAGTGTGATTGTGATGGTCTGTGGACCTTGAATTAAAATTGAAGTTCTAGAGAAGAAACAAACATTTCAGACACCCCTGTTCTGGTCTGTGAAGAGACACCCCCCTGTGTGGCTACATTAGCCTTCTGGGCTGGGTGTGCTGATGGCATGCAGCTGCCAACTTCTCTGGAGCAGAGGAGATTAAAAGGAAAAAAAAACCCCACACTTGCTGCAATTTTTCAGGTGGCCGCACTTTTCCACTTGGTCAAGATAATTTTTGCCCTTAAACTTGTCTTCCAGTGATGATATAATTTTTTTGTTTACTTTTAAGTTACCAATTATATTATCTGTACTGAAATATACTGGACTCATTACATCTTTATTAGGCCTTCCCTTATTTACTAATAAAAATATAAAGTGTTACCTAAAATCTTAATAAAGGCCAGGTACTCCTCTGCCAAAGAAAATTGTTCACTCGGTATGAGTTGTGCTTGATGTAGCCATGATATAGGTGTGTTGGTTGTTTTTTTTCACTGATTAGTCAGGTATTTTATAGGTTACTGACTGCATTTGTATTTTTTTCATAAATTGATGTTACAGATTGATCTAGTTATCTTGGCCCTCACCTCTTTCACTTTCTTCCTCCCTCCCTCTCTCCCTTCCTCTTCCCAGTCCTACTCCTCATTGAATTCTGAAAGACTGTTCAGCTTTCCCAAATGAGTTTCTTAGGATACTGTGTCAGGCCCTGTAATACTGGAAACATCCAACTATTTTCACTTTTGCTTTAAAAAACCATGTTATTTAAGTTCTTCCCATTTTGCCATTGAAGTAGGGTTGGGATGATGTTTGTTTCAAACTAGTTTTAATTGTTGCCTTAGGGTGGGGGCTTTCAGTCTGATTTGTAGCCTAATTTTCCCATAGATGTTAAACACATATAAATGATCAAAATATATGAGGAAGGGCCAAGTCATAGCACAGCTCCATCTAAACCCACATCCAGTTTCTGACAGCAGTCAATACAGAGTGACTAGGAAGGAAAAGAGGACAAGCACACTATTTCCCTGAAGCACTTTCCTTGTTTGCCAGCAGCTGGTGGCTAAGAGGGTTTCTGAGCTAAATGAGGAGGTTGTTCTGTTTAATAGCCCTTGATTGTTTTATTCTTGCAAGATTTTTTCCACTCCTGTTCTGAATTCATGTAAACTTTTAGTGGTACCAAATCACCAGTTGCAAGAAATTCCAAAATTCACTCAATGTGTCCAGAGACCCCTTTAGTTTGTTGTTTGATGGTTACTCCTTACTCATCTCCTCTATGTGCCTCATAAAGGCATAGCCAGTGAGCATCCACCTCTGACCTCTCATCACTGTGAAAAAGTCATGCTTTTATCTCTGTTTTCTGGTTTTTTTGACTGTTGTTTTCTTTAATTCACAAGACTTTCCCTCTTATCCTGTGTCAGTTCAGATTCTTAAAGAGCCTTTGGGCTGGAGTATACTGGACCTTGCTTTTCTCCCTCATCTTATACACACCCCTCCCTTCTCCAAATGGCTGAAGGGCTGCAAACTGTGTCGGGCTCTCCTGACACTTCCAAGTAAAGCAGAGGTCTGGGGTTTCTCTTTAGCATCGTAGAGCTGCACCAGATGTCAGCTGTAGCCGAAGGAGCGTGTCTCTTTGCTGGCAGCAGGCAGGTGTCGTGCAGGGACCTTCACTAGCATGATTTGAGGCTCAGATCTCCTTTGCAAAGGAAACGGCTGAAGTGGTGTAAGGCCTTGATTACCACTGCTGTGCCTGATAGAGCTGGCATGTCCTGGCACGCTCTGTGCACGAGTGCACAGCCTGCCCTTTTAGCACAGGCTTTCCTTTGCCAGCGGGTGAGTCCAAGAGGTTCACATGTGAACAGCAGCCAAGGCATGGCCACATTACACGGCCTGTTCTGCTGCTGTGGGGATGGTGATTTCCAGCCCGCAGAGCAGGGAGCCAGCTGGGGCAATACCAGCATAACTCAGGGCAGTCAGCTTTGCTGGAAGAACCCTCAGATGGCTTCCAAGCAAAGCCCTGAATCCATGAGCCCCATGAATGTGGGTTGCTGACTGAGGCCAAAGAGTGTCTTATTAGAGTAGCAGCAGGATGCCCAAAGTAAACCCTGCTTGTGATGAAAGGAAGGCAATTAAAATTCCACTTCAGTTGCCTTCCTGTCCCACTTCCTAACCTTCCAGCAGCAGGTGATTAGCAGGGCTTGCCTTCTGCTGCCCTGGCCCAGCTGTGCCAGCAGACCCTGCAGCAGGCTAGCGCTGCTCCAACAGCACAGCTGCCAAAGCACAGCCAGGACATTGTGATTCGGCTGTCAGGTTTGCCTCAAGTTAACTTAGAATGAGCTCATTTTTCCAGTTTTCAAATAATTTTGGCTGTGAACTCCCTTGATAGCCTTGCTGTTTAAGGTTTCCCATGTTTCTGCCCAGGATTTCCCAAACAGGAAACCAAACATGCATGCTGTGCAGTAACATCAGTGTGCCTATATCATGCTACAGTCTCGCAGCCTACCAGATGTGTACACTAGTTCATCTGTGCACAAAATTCCTGGCAAAACACCTGCATGCCTTTTCCCAGCCAGACAGTGCTTTAGGGAAGACAGCCCTGCAAGACACAGGGAAGCTCTACCATATCTACAGGTGCCTGCTCTTTGTACAACTTCCCTTGCTGTCATAGGTCAGCTCACAGGGATGAGTTACACCATCCAGAATTTAGTTCCATACTGCGCTCTTGATATCTGCCTGTACACACTTTATCATGAATTTTTTACACTTGAGCACTTTGGAATAGTGAGCAGAACAGGCAAAATGCTCTTTTTAGTTTAAAGCAACTCAAACTACTACATTCAGGTTTTTTGAAACAAGCTTTAAAGTTTTTTTTCTGTCTCCTCGATTGAAGGGAATAGTCACCACATGCCATTCGGATTTAAAAAAAAATGAAAAAAAAAATTTTAAAAATCCCCCAAACAATACATCTCACCCAGTAACATTGCTTCCTTCTAGCTTGGTAGAGGAGCTCTGCAGAAAACACTAGTGGAAAACAAAGTATGCAAGAGAAGCTCATGCCTCACAAAGAAAACCAAACACTTCTGTCACTCTTCAGGTTAAGCAGATTGACACTTCTGATCAGAGTTAGATTTTTCCCTTCCTGCTATAAACAAGTTCATTGCTTTAGAAGACATCTCCAGGAACAAATGGTATTAGCAGGAGAGAACATACAAGCAGTTTTCTCTTCCTCACCAGTTAAAGCAACCATTTAAGTGGGATGAGCCAAAAGTACTGCACTCAGTAGACTCTAAATAGGGGTGGGATTTATTCCTGTAAAACAGTTTGGTTTGGCCTGAAGTGCTTGGAGGTAGCTGACCCTGGGCCCCACAACCTGCTAGAACCATTCTGTAGGTGAGAGTTTCCCTAGCAGTGATTTGCTGATTATCTTGGACATCAGATGGCTAAAGGATAGTCATTCTTGTAGAGCAGACTAATGGAACTGTAAGAAAGGACTATGCTGTTGGGATATGCAAAGGAGGAGAGGAACAGTTTGAACAGGATCACAGATCCCTTCAGAAATGGGAAGGGTTTGAAACATTTACTAGCGGCACATCAAAAGCAGAGAGAAAATGAGCAGCTGCTCACAACTAAAAACTGCATCAAGCTCATGCTCTCTACTCCCCCAGAAGTGAGGAGTAAATCACATTGGCATCAGCACTCCTCATTGATCGGTGTTTTTCCAGACAGATCCCTCCCTCA